TCTCTCTCTCTCTCTCTCTCTCTCTCTCTCTCTCTCTCTCTCTCTCTCTCTCTCTCTCTCTCTCGCACGCATGCACGCACGCGCACAGTTCTTTATGGGGGTTTTTTTTTAAGGACTTCCGATGATCCGAAGAGACTACATTTGATCATCTTTGGGGTAGGGCGCAGGGTCATAATTAGTTAGATTGGGGTCTCCGTCCTTCGCCCGTGCGCGGCGTAGTTTTCCTTTCCTGTTTTTTTTTAAAACAAAAGGGATCTCGACGGACGACGGACGAGATATGAACCATGGTTGGAACAAATACTATATTTGATCGCGTGGGGGTGCCGGGGGGCACTTATTTTGGGCACTCTCTCTCTCTCTCTCTCTATCTATCTATCTATCTATCTATCTATCTATCTATCTATCTATCTCTATCTCTATCTATCTATCTATCTATCTATCCATCTATCTATCCATCCCTCTGTCCTATTCATTAGCTCCTTTGCCCTCATGTCAAAAGGTGCAAAAAGCAGTGAGCCCGTAGTGCCTCGCACAATGAAACCGGGCGGAGGCGGCACGGAGGAGCGGAGTAGGCGGGAGGCAGAGAAACTGCGGAGAAGCGTTGGAGGTGCGGGAGGAGCAATGAAGCAAGGACGGGGGGGAGGAGAGGGAGAGGAGGGGGGAGAAGGGGAGGAGGACCAGAGAAACTGCAGAGGATGAGTGGGGGAGGGAGTACGGAGAAGCTGCCGAGAAGGGATGGAGGAGCGGAGGAGCACGAAGGAGGGGAGCGGAGGAGGAGCGGAGGAGCACGAAGGAGGGGAGCGGAGGAGGAGCGGAGGAGGTGGTGCGGAAGAGCGTAGGACAGGCGCAGAAGGGGAAGTGGGGAAGGAGCGGAGGAGAGGCGGAGGATCGGAAGGGGAGTAGGGGAGCGGGGGAGCAGCGGAGGACGTGTTGAGGATGAGCGGGGGAGGAGGGGAGGAGGAACAGAGGTAGAGGAGCGGCAGAGGAGAGGCGTGGAGAAGCTGTAGAGAAGCTGCGGAGAATGAGGGAGGAGAGGGGTGGAGGCACAGAGGATGAGCAAAGAAGGTGGGGCGGAGGCACTGAAGAGTTGTGGAGGCGGCGAGGAGGAAGAGAGGAGTAGAGGAGGAGAGAAGGAGAGGTGGAGCTGCAGAGGATCTGCGAGGAGAAACGGGGGAGGAGGGGCGGGGGTATGGAGGATGAATGGAGGGGAGGAGCAGGGGAGGAGCAGCAGAGTAGGCAGCGGAGGGGAGGGGGAAAGGAGGAAAGGGGGGGGGATCGTGCAGTCGGTGGAAGAGCCGGAGTGGAGGGGGGGATGCCACTAACCTGAGTCTTCCATCTTGGAGCAGCGTTCAACACAGCTCAGGCCAAACACAGTCAGATATCACACAGGCTCACCACAGCTCATCGCTAACCACAGTTACCTCGAGCTCGCGTGCGTGAGAGAGAGGGAGAGTTGTCGTGTTTGCTTTACGAAACTCCACAAAAAAGCATGACTGAGCCAAAATGTTTGGCAGGACTTTCACCGACTCATCAGGAGGTTGAACCCTGACAGTCTGCCCAAGAGAAAGTGGTCGACTGTCAGTCCAAAGAGCGTGTGTGTGTGTGGTGCCATGTTCGCCATACAACTCCACAAACATTGAGCTCGGACTGTGTGTGTGTGTGTGCGTGTGTTTGTTGTCATGTTCACAATACACAACTCCGCATGTGTGTGTATGTATGAGAGAGAGAGAGGGTGAGCTTCACAACACGACCGGGCGCTCGAGCAATGGCGCCCTCCATAATGCACTTCACAACAACATACACTGCGCTTGGACAGGGCGCTTCACTTCGCACGTTGCGACAACGGGCAACACGCGCTCCAACGACAACGGAGTTTTACTTCACAATAACGGGGCTATAGTTTAACAGAACACGACCTCGTAGCCATAGGTACCGAGCCAAGAAACCATACCCATAGGTACCACAGCCCTCTCCAAAAGGCAAATGATCTGGGCCGTCCGGCCCGAGGTACCCGGCCAACGGCCTGGATTGGCGCACGATCTTAAGATCTGAAGGCCACGCACCGATCCCACCCGTAGATACAGAAGGACTCGACGGCTGGGTTTCAGATTTATTACATGTTTCCAACGATCGAGGCCGTGGGCCGGTAGGACCAACGACGGCCTGGATCAGAGATTGGTTCCCTTAGTGATTTTAACAGTGTAGGGACAGCATGACCACCCGGCATAGTACTCCACAGCCAGACCACCCAGTCCACATGGTACCACCCTAACCCGCACAATATCACCCAGACCACATAGTATCACCGACCAGTGCTTCTTTTCATGCTTTCCATCCAATAGACAACACCACGGCCAACCGACGACAGCACCAAAACGTTGTGCTGCAGAAAGAAATTGTTCCGTTGTGCCACAAGCGAAGCCGCATCAGGTAGCTGCTTCTTATTATACTAAGAGGGAAACAACCCCACCCATGCTTGTATCCATCAGAATTTCCAACACATACCTCATATGCATTCTGTAATCTTTTGAAAGCCTCTGCAGCTTCTTCTGACCCTCCATTCTTGTCAGGATGTACAAGCATTGCCTACTCAACCGACACGAGGGTCATGGACATGGTCAAACAACGAGCCACTATCAGCCTTATTCAGCATACTGCACTGGACCACTTATATTGACACACCAAGCATATGCACCATGCGAGTTCACACGAAATCCACATCGATGGTGAGACCAGATTAGCGCAGCTCACAAACTTCACTGAATGACCATATTATACAGAACCAGAGTTCGTGTCACCAATCACCCATCAGCGCAACATCATATTATGCAGATTCAGAGTTTCGAGTCACCAAGCGCTCAACAGCGCATCATCCAGCAACCTCAATCAGGTCTCTCTCTCTCTCTCTCTCTCTCTCTCTCTCTCTCTCTTGGCTTGTATCACACAACCTGCCTGCCTCACCCTCTCTTGAACTCTCTTAGCCTCTGCTATTATCAGATCACACCCTGGATACATCCGCCTGCTAGTCATGCTCTACCCCTACTACTAAGCGGCTATGGCCGTCTGTCTTCTACAGCATAGCGCTGCCCCAGCAGGACTCCTTAGCGCTCTGCCACTCGCAATAAGCGCACAAGCGCCAACAGCGCTTCTACCTTCTTGCGAATGAGTCATTTGCCCGAATGAGGCTGGACCATTCTCATTGACTTGGACTGGGCCCTGGCTGTACTGGCCTCTGCTGGACCTGGTCTAAGCTTGACTTGACTGGTACCAGTTGCCCGGGGCCTGTTTGCTTTGGAATATTGGGGCGGTACCTTCCAGACTCTTCCTTGGAGCATTGCTGAAATTTCGGACTGTGGGACTTAAATGTTCATTGGGCACCTGTGCAGTTTGACCTCTGCGGCCTCTTGGATACCCGAAGTGACAACTGTTCAGTTTCGGCCCATCAGCCTCTTGGACCTCTGCGGCGTGAAAAGGCCTTTTACTCGCATATGACCTTTCCATTGCTTGTTCTCTGCACTCGTTGTATGGTTAATGCATTATTTTCACTCCATCAAATAGTCGAGTATCAGAACAACATTATTCTAATACAAGATTACACCACAAGACAAAAAGTGTGGCAAAACAGCGAAGGACATTTGACACACAGCTGAGAGGTTTAAGAGGGATGAATGTGCACACAACGATTTGGAGGCCAGAAAGGAGTTTAGGAGAAATTCATGCCCGGAAACCACCCAGTTCGGTGAGCACAAGCGAGGACTAGGGGAAGGGTGAGAACAAGAGAGAAGATTAGGGGAATGTAACGAGGGAAGCTCTAGGAAGAGACAAGTGGTAGAGAGAAACCGAGACTAACGGTTGGAAGAATCCTGGGGGTGAAATGACCTCCACAATCGCAATCTGAAAACTCCACATTTCTTTGAGGAAGTCCGTGTCGCTGAATCTGATTCGCTGTTATTGTTTTGGGTCTTGCCTGTGTGCTAACGCTATTTCCATCCTGTGTTTCTGCATCCCGGGAAAGGAAGACTAGTAAAAAGGTGAAGTTACAGGGACAGGCTGAAATTCCTCTACCAAGTGGTCGTCAAGAGATAGAAGGACAGCCGGGGCGGATTGGTCAAATGATCAGGACCTGGTACGTATTTTCCGGCAATTTGTCAAACCTAGCTTCGCCCTGAAGAAAACCTGCATGTTTATGTTAGGAGTGAGGAAGAAGAGGCAGGGGGGTAGCCTAGCCATGGAGGAGAGAGGTAGTAAGATGTGCTGTCCTCTGCACATCGCGCTTGAGGGAGCGAGATGACATCCATCGATCAGCAGCACTTCGAGAGAGCGAGAGATAGAGAGATGGTTCTTGGGAAGCTGCAGTGAGGAAGATCAATTGGACATTGATTCTTTGTTTATGTATTCATTCTTTGACTATTGTTATCCTTAATCTTAGGAGGAGACTTGAGTGGGATGATGGGCTGACGAGAGGAAAGGGGAATGACATTGGTGTAAACTTCTTCGCTCCATCTTCTACTTGATGCACATCAGATACAACAACTGAGGAAAAGGGATCATTAAACGAAGCTAAACGGCCGCAACAAAGGGATACAGTGACAGGAAGTTTCACAAAGCAGTTGGAAAGAGCAGTTCAGGAAAATAGCAGCAGGGAGAAGCAGTTAGTGAGACATCTGGTTGAAAGACGTAATACGACAATAACAGACATAAAAAGGAGGACACCAGACCGAACTATGCACAAGTGAGATCTCAGGACCAAGAGACCTGACCGCTTGGTCTCCTTCCATGCTCCGGAGAATAACATGCGGAGATCTGAACTGCCTGAAAGAGTAAACCCGGACGATAATCAAATACGTACCACACGCAAGCCCAGAGTTCAAGTATCTTCCCAGGGGGTTCTTCTAACAACCCACAAAACGAACCTCCCAACAGAAAGTGTGCTCTGTTTAGGAAGGTGCTATGGAAGTCTAGATCTTCCATCAATCAGCATGCTATTAAATGTTTCTTTCACGAGGCAATCAAAGGCGACGTGAAGCAGAAAAACACAGGAGAGCTAGTCCTCACACTCTGACCATTGAGCATGCCATTTTCAGCCACCAAAACCCTCGCACTTTGACGGAAACCTCTTAACAGCATCACTTCTCTGGAGAAAGCGATACAGAAACAGGGAGGAGTCATGTTCTCGCTTCCACAGAGACAAGTACCTTGCCTGGAGTTCAATCAAGAAACCTCCTGGATAAGCTTTGGTATTTTGGGTAGACAACAGAGGACAAAGCCCCAAAGAGTGGGTAGGATGGTGGACCAGGAGGAAGGTTTTCACAGGGTTCTCTTGGAACATATTTAATTGTGATCTCACCTTTTTCCGATATAGTTGTCTCAATTTAGAAAAGTCGGGAACAGTACACTTTGGCAATCCAAAAATCGTGTAATGATCCCGACATCCAAGTACCCGCAAAACTTCAGCCTCCGGAAGCCCATCCTCTACAGCTTCTGATCTACCACTGGTCGATGTCCCTTGTGAGCACCTTGATGTCACACTCGCAGTCTCATCGAAAGGGGAATAAGGACTGTACTCCTCAGGAACTCTAGAGTCTGGGTGATCACAATCAGCAGCCTCCCTCTTTGCTCCTCCTCCCACACCTCTCTTTCCCATACCACCTGCAGGTGTCTCGTGGCCTGACACCCCAGCTGGTTCTGTCCCTCTGTAGCCACCATCCCCGGTACGTGGTTGCTCCCCAAACCTACAATCATTGCAGTCAGCTTCTTCTCTGACAGTAGGGCTTTCTCCGCCGCACCCTTCATACGCCGTGTACGCCCGCTGATACTTTCCCCCACCTGCATCTCCTGTGTCCTGCTCCATCCTGTTGCCTCTCCATGTACCTGATGGTCCTCCACCAGCCCAATCTTCACTACTCATCCCAGTTCCGCCAGCCTGAGCATCTTGCTGAAAGCTGGTCTTCACCTCGAAAGCTGCTGAGGTTGGCGTTGTGCCTGGCACGGACTGACTCCAAGCATTCCGCCAATTGCCACGCATATGCGCCTTGGACGCCTTGGATGCCTTGTCCGTTGACCTTGCATGACCAAAGGTTGCTGGAAACATCCCGGACATTCCTGCCACATAGGCTGAATTACCTTTCCTCTCTTCCTTGTCATCATCTTCAAGTGATATGATATAGATCACGACGTCACTGGACAGGAAAGCTAGTCCAACACACCACGACACAGCGGTCCAACCGCCATGACCCTTGACAGAGTAGATAGAGTACACCATCGTGACAAACAGTGCACCTCGGCATCGCTCAGAGTAAAAGAGAAGCCCTGCATTACAAACAAACCCAAAAAAAACAAAAAAAAAGAATCGCTGGTTCTCAAACAAATCCTTCAAAAGCTGTCTGTCAATCACCAATTCCCAGTCGACAAATCCATCATAATGAGTCTGTCCTACCATAGCACATGCAGCTCAGGTAACCAACTGGACAAGTAATGAGGCATAGATTGCTTCCACAGAGCATTACCCTCCTCTTCTCTATATCTATCTATACTATTAAGAACTGCAAAGGGCCCGACGTGACGCTTCCCAGTCGGCCCAGGGAAAATCAGTGCCGCGCAGCTGTCCTGTGCCGTGCGGCAGGCCCACAGAGCGGCCCGAGTGAGGTACTAAGTGCAGCAAGACGCAGATTCAAAAAACCATGCACAGCACTTGGAAGGGGGTGGGCGAACACAGTCAGTTTTCTTTAATACCCCGCCTTTTGGGTGGTTTTTCAAATGCTTCCATTAATGCGCCGTTTAGAGAGTGGGAGGCAGAGGTCGCGCGAGGGGGAGGAGGAGGTTGTGCAAGTGGGAGGAGGTCGGAAGAGGGGGAGGTTGCACAAGGGGGACGAGGAGGTCCGAAGAGGGGGAGGAGGCGGTTGCACAGAAGAGGACATCGTGCAAGGGGGAGGTGTTGTTTGGATAGCGGGAGGAAGAGATCGCGAGAGGGGAAGAGGAGGTTGTGTAAGTGGGAGGGGGAGGTTGGAGGAGGTCGCACGAGGGAAAGGCGGTCGGAAGAGGATGTGCGAGGGGGAGGAGGTTGCACAAGGAGGAGGAGGTTGTGTGAGGGGGAAGCAGAGGTCGTGCAAGGGGGAGGAGGAGGCCGGAAGAGATGTGAAGGAGGTCGCACGAGGGGGATGAGGAGGTGGGAAGAGGATGTGTGAGGGGGAGGACGATGTGCAGAGGGGGAAGAGCAGGTCGCGCGAGGGGGGGGAGAAGGTCTGAGGAGGGGGAGGAGCGGGTCATGCAAGGGGGAGGAGGAGGTCGAGGGAGGGGCAGGAGCAGGTCGCAAGATGGGGACGAGAGATTGCAGAAGGTCCCGTGCGGGAGGGGAGGAGGTCGAGGGAGGGGCAGGAGCAGGTCGCACGATGGGGACGAGAGATTGCAGAAGGTCTCGTGCGGGAGGGGAGGAGGTCGCACCGGTGGGAGGTCGCGCTAGGGGGAGGAGGGGGCCGCGAGGGAGGATGAGGACGTCCCAAGGTCACAGGAAGGGGGTGTGTGTGAGTGTGTATGTGCTGTCTCTTATACACATCTAGATGTGTATAAGAGACAGGAGAGAGAGAGAGAGAGAGAGAGAGAGAGAGAGAGAGAGAGAGAGAGAGTCCACCTTTTTTTGGGGGGGGGAATTTGCCAAATATCCCCATAAGTTGAGATATATGTCAAAATGTCCCGGAAAGATCTGGGCACAGTGGAATGGCCTTTGGGGCTGACATCTTTGTGTTATGCCCCTGTCAGGCGGGGGTGCAAATTCACAATCTCAGCCTCCCTGTTCGGGCCTTTGCAATTCCACCTATGAAAAGTTGGCAACTACCAGGGCATTTTGCAAAGTTGGATGGCGTTCGGTAGGGGTACATTGCAAAGATGGGGTCCGGCCGATGTCTGGGGTGTTTCACAAAATGTTGTTGTCATCCACTTGTTCTTCCAAAAAGCAAGAAGTGACACATGGTCAGTGCTGTGGCATTCAGTCAATGACAACCAGATCAGCCCTAACTCCAAGTCCGCACGTTCAAGTTTTTGTTTAAACCACCAATGCGCTTCCCGGCCATTTTCCTCGAACACGGCCGCCTGCATGCCGCAAGTCTCGGGGATCGGCCAAAATGACTGGCGGCACGGGCCAAAATGGCTGGCGGCAAGGCCCGCACTGGTTCGTTTTCTTTCGGCATGCAGTGCGTTTCGAGGCTAGCCAAGGGAAGGGCCAGAAGTACTGGTGGTTCTGCCAACCAAACACCCACCTCCTATCCGAACCAATAGAACATCATGGTTTGGCTGTTCTGGCAACCAAACACCCGCACTCCATATCATGCAGTTTTTATTCTGTCAAGTCCAGGAAAGATGTGAAATTGCTTGGTCCGTACAGTAATGGGGCCAACTTCTAGGTGTACATGGCCAGGGTCAGATATGCCTGCAGATATTTTGGAACTGCAACCGTATTAACCACCCACGCTAGAACTGTGGAGCGTAGACAAAACTCAATTTGCATTCCGAAGTGCTAAAAGACGAAGTTGGTTGGTCAGTACATACAACCTATCAAAATCAATGGAAAGCCAGAGAAATTAAAAAATCCATCAAATGTTGTTGAAAAGCGATGTTGAGGACGATTGTCAACCTTGGGTTAATATTCACGAGAGAAGCGCTGGTTCTGCCAGATATCAATAATAATACATTTAGTGCTCTGGGAAAGGCACATCTACTAGGTTAGGACAGGGCGAGTTTTAAGAAAAGGAGCTTGAAACAGTGTCGAGCTCATCTTGGTATATATCTTTGTATTTCACCTTGTATCCTCTTATTACACAGTTTATCTTGAAGGGAATATTTTCTTCAAAACACCAGTTAATTCAAAGCTAAGCCGGGCTCTTGGCAGTGTATGGGGTAAGAGGATACCGCTTGGGGCCATTGTCCTGTCCATGGAAAGGCCCAGCTGTACGCTCCGGAGCCGAGGAAGGTAGCTGTGTACAAAGAGGCTCGGCTGAACTGGTGGTTTAATCCTCTACTTTCCCTCTCCTTTCTTTCCCGTTCTTTCCAACTTTCTTCGCCAAACCTCACAATACATCACAGCCACAAGTTACTCGAAAGCTCTCTCCAAGATTCTCTACAAAGTCAACACTTTTTCACAAGTGAAGTAATGGCTAGCGCGGTGCTAAGTCGACCAACCCTCCATGACCGCCACACACAGGCACACGGTAAGAGCATATCGCTTCAGGCCTGGGCCAGTTGCGTCCTGTCCAGGCCCAGCTGGAGGCTCCAGAGCCTCGGAAGGTACCTGCGTACAAATAGGCTCAGCTGAACTGGTGCTTTAACTTTTACTTCCACTCTTCTTTCTTTAGCATTCTTTTCTAACTTCCTTGCAAATCGTCACACCCAGAAGATACTTGAAAGTTCCCAGGTAAAGTACTGGCTAGCATGGTCCTAAGTCTACTCACCTCCCGCAAACGCCACACCTAGCGTTGGCCAAGGACTTCCATAGAGCACCAGGATTCCCATTCCAAACAACCCCAGCACAAGGGAAGCAAATGCCACGCCGTAGAAGACCGCTCCCACAATCGCAACCACCTGGCCCAAGAAAGTTAGCATACACACGATGTCAGATGACCACAGACCTTTACTTCCATTTCATTATTCATCAGCAAGTTCACTGGAGGCACCGCGGAGGGAAGAAAATTGCAATCAGACTTGTCTCGATTCACTCACCATGCATGCAAACAGATGACGATTAAACTTGGCGCGTAGTGCCCACACAAAGCTCAGAGATAAGCATGGCCAGGAACACAGCTCAGATTCAAACTTGTCTTCGATGGCTATGGCGCAGGGCGCCAGACGATGATTCCCACCCGGTCCAATGTATCCTCCAGCAACTTATTCGCACACACACGCTGACACTAGGATCACCCAGGATGTCCCGCACACACACACACACAAATGTACTCACTCCCTATCCTATCCTACGTGACGGTGTCGACCGGAAGAAGTAGTCTGTCGGCACGCCGACCAGGCCCTATAGTGTGCGCCGTGTCTGTCACCCACGGGAGGGCCGATCGGGGCTCCTGTAATCCTGCAAGAAAACAGTTAGTCCACACCCTGTCTCTTATACACATCTAGATGTGTATAAGAGACAGCAAATGTACTCACTCCCTATCCTATCCTACGTGACGGTGTCGACCGGAAGAAGTAGTCTGTCGGCACGCCGACCAGGCCCTATAGTGTGCGCCGTGTCTGTCACCCACGGGAGGGCCGATCGGGGCTCCTGTAATCCTGCAAGAAAACAGTTAGTCCACACCCACACAAATAGAGACTGGAACCGACCTTTGGACACCACAACGAGTCTTTCACAGTTCGCCATCTGGAAGAAAAACAAAATGCTCTCATTTAGTCCAAAATAATGGGATTCACAGCACTACTTCCAGCCACAGAGGTAAATCCCGGGCCCAAATCAGGAAAATCGGTTTGGGTCCCGACCGATATTACTAACAATTTAGGGTGGATTCTCCTCCCAATGGGGTGCCGCCGGTAACGTGCTTGCTGATCCCAGGGGACGGTGCTTGAGCTTTCTGTGTCAGAGGTAGAATCTCCGGCCCATTGTGGCCATTGCTCACGAGCGAGTTTCACCATGGATCGACCTTGTCACCTGCCGCCCTCAAAAAAACAACCCCCCCACGATCGGTCTTGTTCCTGGCCAACTGAGTTGTCGGGACTGCGTCCCGTTCAAAATTATCCCTTTACTGAACCTTGCACGGCCCGAAGTCTCAGCCTGTCTGTGGCCGGTCTCTCAGTCCCGGCCTGGACCCAAAAGTCCCAGCCTAATCCCAAAAGTCTCGGTCTAGTCGAAGTTTCGGTCTCACCCGAAGCACCAGTTCGGCCCAAAGTCCCAGTTCAGCCCAAATCCCGATCACGCCAGAAGTCCTAGTCCCGTCCAGATCTGGTCTCCTCGAAGTCCTGCTCCTGTCAAAGGTCCCAGGTTCCGATGTCTTAGCCTGCCTTTGTCTGATCCCGTTGTCCCTGCCTGCAAGCAGTCCCGATCAGTCCCGGTTCTCTCGTGCCAAGGTCCCACGTTCTGTCCAGAGTTCCGGTCTCGTAGTAAGTCACAACCCAGTCCAAAGTGCGGACCAGGTCTGAAGTCCCAATTGGGTCACAAAGTCCCCCAATCTGAAATCCTCGTTCGTGCTCGGGCCTCGGCCCTGAAGTACCAATTCCCTCCAGGGCCTCGGCCTTGTTCGAAGCCCAGATCTGTTCAAAAGTCCCAGCTCAGGTCCCAAAACCCTGCTTGCCCAAAGCCCTGGTTCAGTCTAATGTCCCGTCACGCTATAAAGGCCCGTTACAGATGCACCTCCGAGCGCGCCGCCCTCGATAACCCATTTCAGATTCGCGTCCAGGCACACTGTTTCCTATGGCCCGATCTCGCTCGTACGCAAGCGGCACTGCTGCACGGTTGCGTCCCAAGCACCGTGCGCATCCCGCTCTGCGCGCTAGTCTGCGTGTGTGCGAGTGCAGCTGCAACTCTCCAAATACGTCCAGCCGCGGGCTTGTGCGCCTGTGCACTCGCTGTGTACATCAACCGATCGTATGTGCCCGCTTACTGATGCGCGCGGTCTTCACACTCTCCGTCCCTGTTCGCACATGCGCCCCCGCCGATGCACGCTGCCTTCACACTTTCCAATCCCGCTAGCGCGTGCGCGCGCACCGATGCGTGTGGCCCCCGTGTGGTCCGACCCCGATCATGCATGTCCGTGCGACGATGCGCGCGGCCCCTGTACGTTCCGATCTCGATTGTGCGAGTTCGCAAGACGATGCGTGCAACTCCCGTGCGTTCCGACCTCGATTGCGCGTGTGCACGCGACGATGCGCGCGGCTCCCGTGCGTTCGATCCCTATCACGCGTGTGCGCAAGACGTTGCGCGCAGCTCTCATGCATTCTCACCTCGATTGCGCATGTGCGCACGATGACGCGCGCGGCTCCCGTGCGCTTCGACATCGATCGTGCGTGTGCGCGCGACGATGTGTGCGGCTCCTGTGCATCAGATCCCTTTCCCGCGTGCACGCGCGACATTGCGTGCAGCTCCCCCTACTCAGATCCTGACTGCGCGCGAATGCGCGCGGCTTTCTCCGCTCCGATGCCGACTTCGCGCAGATCGGCGCGACTGCCTTTACTCAGATCTCAATACCACACGAATGTGCGCAGCTTCCACGGCTCAGATCCCGATTCCGCGCGAACGTGTGGAGCCGTATTCGCTCTATCATGACTGTGCGCGAATGCACACGGCTTCCTCCTCTCTGAGACCGACTTCGCACAGATGGGCGCGGCTGCCCTTGCTCAAATCTCGATTCCGCGCGAACGCACGCAGCTTCCGCTGCTAAGATCCCGATTCCACACGGACACGTGCAGCTTCCGCCGCTCAGATCCCGATTCCACACAAACATGCGCACCTTTCGCGGCTCGGATCCTGACTGTGCGCGAATGCGCACGGCTTCCTCCTCTCGAATCTTGACTGCGCACGGATGGGCGCAGCTGCCTCTGCTCAGATCTTGATTCCACGCGAACACGTGCGGTTGCACGCAGGGCTCTTATCCCGCCCTCGATCACGAACGTGTGCGGAGCTCCTCTCCCGCTCTCGCGCACGAACTTGAGCGGATGCGCGCGGGTGCGTGTTGCGCTCGATCGGCGGGCGCCTGTGCTCAAGTGCGTGGCCCTGGGCGTGGCTATGGTGTGCACACCCCCTCCTGTCCCGTGCTCCCTCTCCTTGTCTCCTTTCCTCGTGCGTTCCCTGGTCGACCTCTGGTGCGCCTGAGAGTGTCTCGTCCCAAGACTCCCGAGCTCCTCTAGTGCACCTGCACGTGCGCAAGTAAGAAGCCCCCCGTCCTTGAGCCCAGTTGGGCTTATGAAGTTTGTTGGTCCGACCTCCACGAGGCTCCAGCAGTCCGTGTGCCGCTGGAGTCGAGAACTTTGCAGCGCCTTGGTATCGTGGCACTCCCCGAACCTAGGCCCGGGCCTATTTCGGCCCCCGAAAGGTTTTTCGGCGAAGGGGGCCTTTTTGTCGGGTACCAGGCCTTTTGCAGCGCCCTGGTACCGGGGCTCATCCCGAACCTAGGCCCGAGCCTGCCTAGGCTCTAGCGGTCCCCACATGAGCGGTACCCAGGCCCACAAATTTCCGTAGGGCCTGGCCCACCGAAGTAGCGGACTTATTAGTCCGAGGGCCCCTTTTCTCCGCTTCAGGCCCTAGATTAGGACCGAAAGCCAAGGTCCCAAGCGTGGCTGCTTAGCGGTTTCCCTCCATTTTGGCCACGCGGTGAATTGTGATGCCACCACAGATTACTCCGTGGGAGGGCTTGTCTCAAGGTCTCAACCTCACTTCTTGATTCGGTCATCGTCCGTCCTTTGAGCATAGATCCAGTGTTCTTGCGCCCGATCTTTTTCGTAGCCTCCGGCGTTTCTTCTGTAGTCGATCTGCTTTTATGATCTGCCAGTCGTTAGCCACGATAGTTCCCACAAGAGAATGCCCACCCGGAATTCAACGTGCCAATCCTTTCTGGCGCCCAGGTCTTGATGCCCACGACGCGGGTCCGATGTCAATTATGCTCCCATCAGATAAAACACTCGAATCCAATCCTGAACGGTCAAGGTCGTAGCTGCTACAGTCCTGAAAGGTCAAGGTCGTAGCTGCTACAGTTCCGAAAGGCCAAGTCTACGAACTTCCAAAAAGTCTGAAAGTGGCCTTTCGAGAATTCTTACGTTTGGCCAGAGGCAAGTGGGCAAGTGGCGAGTCCACCCATGTTGAGTCAGCGGTACCAGTCCCAGTCTCACTTAGTCCAGTCAACAAGTACCATGTGGGACTGCGTGCACCATGGGCCCGGTGGAAAGAGGCAAACCAGCGACTTCCATAAGTATAAATCAAGAGGCAGCGTCCAGCCATTCATTCATTGCTGCGTAAGCCATGCGGAAGCGCTGCCTCAGCGACTTGTGCGAGGTGGTCTGCAATCGCCCGAAGTGGAAGTGGGCCGTGAGGAGGACAGTGTGCCATAGTTAGTAGTAGCCGGCTGCCACGGTGGCCATAGCTGGTGTTAGTAGTAGTGTGTGTGTGAGTGTGTATGTGTGTGGGATATCCAGGGAGATCCACAGTTGAGTGAGTGCAGACAGTAGTGTTGGACAGAGAGACGAGAGTTGGGAGGTACAGGCGCTGATGCGCCATAGCCTGTTGAAGCGAGTTTGTACCTGACTGTGTTTTCGACTTCCATCTCTTTGAGCTTTGAGTGGGCGCTGTGCGCCAGTGAGATTCACCATCTGTTTGCATGAGTGCGAAGTGGAAAAAGAAAGCGAGTCTGATTGCAAAAGGTTCACAGCAACAAAAAAGGTTTAGACGCTGCAATGGGTCTGATGATCGCTCAGCAGCAGACCATCATCAAGGGCAAACTGTTCCACACCAGTGCAAGAAAACTAAACAGACACTAGATGACCCGTTGCGGCTTCGCCCGCAAAAAAAAGAAAAAGAAAAAAGGACAAAAGAAAGAAAACGCATAAGGAACTGCACTATCATGCGCCGCTTCTTTCACAATAAGAAAAAG